GTGCCCTAGGATTACCGTGTGTTTGCTATCTTACAGATCGCACACCCTACCGAGGACATCAGATACCGAAGAGACTTAATAACTAAGTTGCGCGGGAAAGTGCCGAACCATTTTTCTACGTCAACAAATGTATACTCTTATAACATGATCAGCATATATGTTAATTGCATTTCAATTATGAAGTCTACTTATTGAGTTGCATACTAAGCTCAAAATGTGAATAGGCATACATACATTCACTATTTTTTAGGGAAATGCTCACTTAGTGTTGATACATGTTATGATATATATATTACCAAATTGTCGTACACATTCAAACAAGCCTTTCACTTGATAGGTCAAATTGACAGTCTTCTTGCGAAGGCTGTTTGGTAAGAAAACGTTTCCTTTCCCGTATATTTGGGGGGCACTTCATTCCTTCCCTTCCATGATGATACTGGAGACTTTTTGGTGAATGTTGCTTATGGCAACATCATGTGGACAGATTTTCATTAAGTTTCTTCCTCAATTGCCCACTGACATGTTGTGTATAAAAGCTGATTTGTTTCCGGTTTTAGAGGTTACTGATGGACTTTGTTTTGTTTGAGAGTTTGATCAGCTGCGTCTGTGTTCCATTTAACTGTTATTTGTTTATTCATCTTTCTTTCACATGCTTAATGCTACCACAATACCTTAACTCTTACCCTAGGGGCGGCCTGAGCTCTGCTATTCATAGCCAACTTTTGGCGGCTGAATAGTGAATAGCAAAGTAGTAGTTTGGGATATGCAGATAGGTTGAATTTGAATTTTGACTGAAGCCACTCTCCACGCTTCTTGAATGCAGAGGACTTGATGTCACCCTGACCATTATTGAGTCGCCTTATATATGACATTAAGCTTGAGTTTGAGCTAGTCTTAGGTGCACTAGGTCAAGTTAGCCTCAAGGTTGTTTTGAATACTGGATAACCTGAGCTTGGGCATGTGTGTACAATTGTGGGGCAAGCTTTGCCCCCAATCTTAGTTCATCAAGCTGTTTACAACACAAGAAGAATTCCTGAAGTTACTCATGAATAGATACCTACCTGCTACATGTTCTCTGGTTTATTTGATTCTACTGACCTTAACGTTATTGTTGATGACTTTGATTGTCATCGTTATTAATCTCATCAAGAAAATTTCATGTTAAGATGTTACTATTTGCTCTCTAATACATGATTTCTTTCATTCTATAATGATGCAGGATGCATGGCGGCCTTGGAAGCAGAACATTACTTGCAAGAGATTGGATCTCAGGAGGGTAAGAGGGATTGACTACCTCGGATTGGTGAGGGATCTAAGAGCTGCTCGGTTAGAAGCAAATTTTAGTGAACGATGCATGATAAAGAAAGCTGTATTTGGACCCATTAAATATCATTCTTCAACAATTTTTACTTATTTTACAGTTCCTATTGTAGGATTTATTCATAATACGCAGATGACTATGTTTCATGGCATGGCATCTGCAACCCAATGATATGATAGTTTGAATTGAATGGCTTGAAAATTTGAATATTTCGTTACTGTTTTTTTTGGCGAAAAATATTTCGTTATTTGCATCCAAAATTTTGATATTTTTATAAATTTCAATATTAGAATTGCCTATCAGTCATGTATGCATGCAGCGCATTGTTGATCACATTCTTGTTTTCACAACGAGGTTGTACATTTAGACCCTCATTTTCTTTCTCCCTTGGCGAATGCCAAGTCCAAAGCGAAGCATGTATATTTCACTTACTAAACTTAGAATTCAGATTGTGAGATTCTTTTTTTATGGTATCGTGATAGTGATCAAATTAGAAGTTGAAATAAGTTTAACAAGCGGAGTTGCGAACGATTTTGCAATACCACTATAGAGATCTCAACTATATGAATAGCCCCTTGACCACACACCCAAAAATTAAAAAAATTAAAAAAATTAAAACTATACGAATAGCCTCAAAAGCCCAACACCATCAAATCATTATGGTCTTGCATTTCCAAGGTCCAGATTAGGCGGGCCTATAGCTATCTTGGACTGTCCAAATCTTCACTGAGTTCACTGTCCATAAACTGATCGCTTGTTAGCCAACTGGTTAGTATAAACTACTTTAACAAGGACACCTAGCATCCAAGCCGTCTTAGCTCAGCTGGTAGAGCGCGTGGCTTTTAACCACGTGGTCGTGGGTTCGATTCCCACAGACGGCGTAAGAACAATTGTAGTTTGGGCTTTTAAACTTAAACAAGCAAAAGCAACCCGTTTTGCTGCCTTACTTTTTAGCTCTGTCTATTATTAAGTGAGTGCATCCAGTTTGCCTTTCAAAGTTGTATCCATGCATATATATATATATATATAGACATTGTTACAAGTTACAATGACACTTCAATTCTGCATAAGCTAGGTAGTCTTGAAGATGTACTAAAATTATTGGCTTCCTTGCCTAATTCTTGTGATAATTAATCAAGTTAGAGAGCATGTTGTTATAAAGGGCACCGCATACCAATATTACAAATTGCAATTACAAGTAAAGGCTAGCCATAGCTGTTCAAGCTTCCATGCAAATTGCAGGCACACACAACCTGCAAGCTAATGAAGAACGCTACAAAGGAAAAATGACGAAAAACCCCTTTCGGAATCATTTAATTTAACCCTAAAAGTTAATACAAGCTAGAAAATAGATTAACAAACAAATCAAAGATTACAGACAAACTAAGAGCCAAGACATCTTGGTCAGTAGAAGTGGCAGCATGAAGACAAACACAAAAGAAGATAAAAGAGCAGAAGTTGCTCTCATAAACCCCTCCCCCCACAATTCATAATTGCAGGCATTTTAAAGACAATCTTTTGTAAACCACTAACCACAGAGGCCTAATTTTCCTTTCGTTTTTATTCCTTACCCATGTGACATTAGGAACCCACCATGTTCTTCCTCCAACCCCACCAACCAACAGGGTCCCTTGGTGAGCTTATTTAATTCTGCTTGTTTTTTTCCCTCAATTTCCTTTTTAGTAGGCCCCTGTGGTCAAGATTCAATGGGGTTGGTTTAGTCTATTCGGTGGAGGCAAGGTGTATGAAATCCTTGCTAGATCTGTTGTATTTCATGTGGCTGGTCATAAGCTGGTCAGTATCAATGGCTGCCAGAAGAGAAACCTCCCCTGCCAGGACAGCACCGGCCACGATTCTGGCCAATTGCCTTGCGTTTGCACCGGGGGACTCTTTGTTAGCACCCTTCACACCCAGTAGGTTCAAGCAGGCTGACTGAGATGCAAGTTGCGTTCCTCCTCCAATTGTCCCCACCTGAAAAGTTCAAATTTCGCAAATTGAGATTAGCTGTCCATTTAATTGAACATCTCAAAGAGAGCCCCATCATTCTAACCATTAGATATTATTTGGTAAACCACCAATGGGCCTACCCCTTGCTGTCCACAATCCAGCTACTATGTCTATTACTAACCCTTCAAACCTGTGAAGGGCCATTCCCGAAAGAATTTGGCTTTGGATTTGACATTCAAACTCCTTAGAATTTAGAATGAGTTATAAATTCACCCAAAAGAAGCAGTAATTTGTTGTAATGTACCTCAATGCAAGGCATGCTGACAGCAATATAAATGGCCTTGCCATTCTTCACAGATTCAATCTGGGTGATGCAGTGAGAGCTCTCTACATTCTGAGCAGGATCCTGGCCAGTGGCTATGAAGAGTGCAGAAACAATGTTGCTGGCGTGGGCATTGAACCCACCAACAGTACCAGCCATAGCAGACCCAATTAAGTTTTTATTCACATTAAGCCCCGCAAGGGAATCCATATTGGTTTTCAGTACTTTCCTCACCACTTCTTCCTTGATAATTGCCTCGCATACTACTGATTTTCCTCGCCCTTGAATCCAATTTACCGCCGCTGCTTTCTTGTCTGAGCAGAAGTTTCCTGTGCAATCCAAACAAGCTCATAAATAACAAACACCACTAATTAATCATAGAAAAATGCCACTGAAATATTAAATTCTATGATAACAATGCCACTGAATTGTTCTCTCAGAATCGAAGTCCAAAGGGAAACAAACATTAAACATGATTACAAAGGAATGTTTGAACGCCGTTGTATATACGCAACTTATTTTCCCTCACAACATGCAACAAGCATGAAAGATCCATTTCACAACAGTACAACTCACAAATATATTATTAGAAACGGAAATTGAGAAAAAACCTTACCAGAGATGCCTATAACCTCCATGTCAGGGAAGTCATTTTGAAGGTATTCTAAAACATATTGAACGCCCTTGGAGATCATGTTCATCCCCATGGCATCTCCAGTGCTGCAAGCAAACCTGATGTATAGATTCCTGCCTGCTATTTGGCATTGAATCTTCAGAAGCTTTGCAAATCTACTAGACCTGAGCAGTGAACCTCCCATTTATCACATATACAACTTATCAATATTTTACATGAAACTACGCAGATTGGGTAAACAACAGAAGAAGAAGAAAAAACAGAATAATTCAAAACAAATAAACAAATGCCCATCAACATCTTAAAGTTGTGACAAAATCTTCATTAAATTGGTTGATAGGTCCTCTTTTTGTTCCTCAATTATAAAAAATTACAATCCATGCTACAATAAAAAGGTTTTGGCTTGAAAATCTAGGGTTTCTTCTAATAAATTAAAATCAAACAGAGAAAATTAACCTGTTGAAAACGGCCGCAAGAGTATCGAAGTTGAGAGGGTCCTCGACGAATAACATGAGCTCTGCAGCCCTAACGGCAGAGCCAAACCTAACAATTGGAGCTCTGGTCATGGCGTCTTTGTGGAGGACGCTGATGGCCCCACCGGAGGCGTAGATGGCCTTGAGGCCCCTATCGATGCTGGCCACCAAGGTACCCTCCGTCGTCGCCAAAGGCACCATGTACTCTTTTCCGTCCAGCAACAGAGGTCCGGCCACTCCCACCGGAATCTGCACATACCCCACCGGATTGTCACAGCACTGTCCCAGTATCGACTCATAGTCAAGCCCATCCAACGGTAGACCCTCCAGCGAACGGCCCGTCGTCCGCTCCAATGCCTCGCGTCGGATCGCCGCCGCTCTCCGGCAGTCCCCGAGTTTCGCCTCTAGCTCGTACGACGCCGTCGTTCCGGACAACACCGATTGGACGATCTCCTCGTCTTCCTTAGAGAGGAGCGTCTCCTCCTTTTTCGGTTCTGGCGGCGGCAGTGGGGTTGGTTCGAGGCCGACTACGTTGTTCCAGTCGTCGTCTTGCGGGGTTCGGGGAGCGACGAAGGACTGGACGAAGTCAATGCCGAAGAAGCCGAGGAGGTAGATGACGGAGGCGAAGAGGGAGAAGATGGCGGCGATCTCTGAGAGCGTCACCACATGGAGCGGAGCGGACGTGCGGATCTTCTCACGCCACCTGGTGAGGAGGAAGTAGGCGACTGTGAAGAAGAGAGTGACGAAGAGGCCATTGGTGAGGTAAAGCGGCAGAGGAAGATAAATAAATGATATCAATAAAACTTCAACGTAAAAAATTTAAAATCTAAGACTAAGCCAACATCAATTCTAATGAAAAATTCGAAATCCTAAGAAGTCGAATTTCACATGTTCCAATGTTATCGTGAGAAACCTAAAAGTTATCTGAATGTTTTTGGAAAATATTAAATAAACATATAAATATATATTAAAAAGAAAAAACAATTGGGCCACCGGAGACAAATGTGCCTATGTCCCTGAGGCGGTTGAATAGTTGGGCTCCCATTTGTCCTCCTAATATGAATTTAAATTTTGATTATTTATTTATTAATTGACTTTTCCTAGTTATATACGACTTCCATTGCAACCTAGGTTTTCTAACTTTTTTACCGTGTCCTTTTTTCTATTCCAGATAGCAAAAGGAGAAGGCTAAAACTTGCGCTATATATAGCAGTAGTACCAAATATTGTTATTATTTATTATCTCAAAGAATCAATCGTTGAAATTGAGATGAAGGGAATCCTGGGTATTTTCTGCTTTCAAAGAAAATATTTTTATACAACATGTGGAAGAAAGTTTTTTATCGGACCCATCGACCTTCTATCAAATTTGATTCCACATCGTTCAATCAATTCGACAAAAGGTTAAGTCTTGTCGCTTTGTTAACTATACGACATCAAATGTGATATTTGCTTGTGTTTTCTATTTGGGTCAATAATACAATTTTGTGTTAATAATATTGTTTCTATTATGACGAGCTTTGAATACAATTCATATCTAATCTCGGCTTTTGAATTGCATCTAATAGACTACCAACATATTTAATGAATGCAATTTAACGACTTATGAATTCAATACTTAGTATTCAAACTTACTAAAATTATTTGTTTCATTAGCAGGATTGGAGGAGCCGAATGCTAAGAGAAACGAGAAGTCAACCTTAATAGAATTACCTAAGGAGATCCTCTTCGACATCCTTATGAGACTGCCGACAAAATCACTTTTTGACATCCGTGGCTTATCAAAGACCTCTTTAAACATAGTTGATGACCCATTTTTTGCCACGCTGCACACTCAACGTATACTTAATTCTGCTACTGCTCCCGTTGAAGTAGCTCAACTTGTGCTTTTTGTTCAGATTTGGTCCTTTGAGGATGAGAAGTGCTTAACAGCCTTGCAATCATTGAAGTACAATATGCACCGCTTGAACAAAAATGAAGACGCTAGTACGAAGATCTTTTCCAGTGAAGATTATTATGAAGTAGATTTTGTTTTTTGCAACTTGTTTGGTTTTATAAACAATTCGGGGAGACTTGGATATTCATGCTTACTGGTCAATCCTTTGAGAGGAGAAGTTCTAGAAATCCCAATGAATGACCTCGTTCCAACCGACCATACAAACTGGGACGATATAAAGTGGTATGGCATGGGATTTGACAGTATAACTAGCACACATAAGATTGTTTGCATTGCTCAAAGTGCATCATTCGGATTCGTGTCAGCTTATGTCTATACATTGGGCTCAAGATCATCATCATGGAGAGAAATACACTCAGTTCCCCAATGTGAGTTTACTAGGAAGAATGTATCTGCATATGGAGACATGCATTGGTTGATTGAAAGTGATGTAGATGGAGGAAGCTCTAATCATATTATTTCTTTCGATTTCAAGAAAGAGGAATTTGTTTGGATCCCTTATCCTAATTCGTCACAGGGTTTTAATCATGGTTTATATGCCATGCATTTACTTAACTTGAGAGGACGTTTGGCCATTTTGTCATCTGGGGATTTTTCGCTTGAGATATGGGTGCTAAAAAGTTATGAAGACAAAAAGTGGACGTTAGATTACAAAATTAAGAACAAAATGTTTCCTCATCATGCTGGAAACGAAGTTAGATCAATTGACAGTTGTGGTGAATGGGAACATGGCATATTTTTCACAGAAGAAGATCCTCCTATGTTTTACTTTTGGGACGCAAGATATAAATCCCTAAAATACATCAAAGCTGAAACATTATTCCCAAGCATCTTCAATTATGAGAATCTTTATTATCATGTCTGGAAAGGGCAGTTGCGGTGTCCTCCGAAGCTGAGGATCTTCAATTATACCAGAAGCCTGATTTCCTTAAAGACATTTGGCAATTTAGTTAAAAGACAAGTGTGCAGGCGGCAAATCATGGAAACAACAAAATCAAGGACCTGGCATTTTAATCTTGGAGATTGGACTCAGTAACTTTGTTTGAGTATGTATTTCTGTTATACGATATGAATTACTGTTATACTGTTTATCAACTGTCTACTATTGTGGTGGAGATTAATTAATTATTAAAAAAATTATGATTAGTTTATTATATCTATTCTTTAACCATTACAACTTCAGTAGGCCATAATTTGCTTGTGGCCTGCAAAATTTAGCTGTCCTTTTGGCATCCATCGTTCTTCAAGTCACGGCCCTTGGCTTTTGTGATGTTTGCTTTTATCCTTTTTTGGTAGACCAACTCGTCTGTCTATGAGTTCACACCTCAACTTCTGAGGAAATAGGG